TCTGGACACCCCCCAAATCGCGATTAGAGCTATATTTAAGGAGATACATCGATTTAAAGGTTTGGGAAACCCACCGGCCGACAAATAATGATTTATGAAACATTTTATACTGGGAAATTTGGATATGAAAATTTCGAGCATCTGGACACCCCCCAAATCGCGATTAGAGCTATATTTAAGGAGATACATCGATTTAAAGGTTTGGGAAACCCACCGGCCGACAAATAATGATTTATGAAATATTTTGTACTGGGAAATTTGGATATGAAAATTTCGAGCATCTGGACACCCCCCAAATTGCGATTAGAGCCATATTTAAGGAGATACATCGATTTAAAGGTTTGGGAAACCCACCGGCCGACAAATAATGATTTATGAAATATTTTGTACTGGGAAATTTGGATATGAGAATTTCGAGCATCTGGACACCCCCCAAATCGCGATTAGAGCCATATTTAAGGAGATACATCGATTTAAAGGTTTGGGAAACCCACCGGCCGACAAATAATGATTTATGAAATATTTTGTACTGGGAAATTTGGATATGAAAATTTCGAGCATCTGGACACCCCCCAAATCGCGATTAGAGCTATATTTAAGGAGATACATCGATTTAAAGGTTTGGGAAACCCACCGGCCGACAAATAATGATTTATGAAATATTTTGTACTGGGAAATTTTGATATGAAAATTTCGAGCATCTGGACACCCCCCAAATCGCGATTAGAGCTATATTTAAGGAGATACATCGATTTAAAGGTTTGGGAAACCCACCGGCCGACAAATAATGATTTATGAAATATTTTGTACTGGGAAATTTGGATATGAAAATTTCGAGCATCTGGACACCCCCCAAATTGCGATTAGAGCCATATTTAAGGAGATACATCGATTTAAAGGTTTGGGAAACCCACCGGCCGACAAATAATGATTTATGAAATATTTTGTACTGGGAAATTTGGATATGAAAATTTCGAGCATCTGGACACCCCCCAAATTGCGATTAGAGCCATATTTAAGGAGATACATCGATTTAAAGGTTTGGGAAACCCACCGGCCGACAAATAATGATTTATGAAATATTTTGTACTGGGAAATTTGGATATGAAAATTTCGAGCATCTGGACACCCCCCAAATCGCGATTAGAGCTATATTTAAGGAGATACATCGATTTAAAGGTTTGGGAAACCCACCGGCCGACAAATAATGATTTATGAATATTTTGTACTGGGAAATTTGGATATGAAAATTTCGAGCATCTGGACACCCCCCAAATCGCGATTAGAGCTATATTTAAGGAGATACATCGATTTAAAGGTTTGGGAAACCCACCGGCCGACAAATAATGATTTATGAAATATTTTGTACTGGGAAATTTGGATATGAAAATTTCGAGCATCTGGACACCCCCCAAATCGCGATTAGAGCTATATTTAAGGAGATACATCGATTTAAAGGTTTGGGAAACCCACCGGCCGACAAATAATGATTTATGAAATATTTAGTACTGGGAAATTTGGATATGAAAATTTCGAGCATCTGGACACCCCCCAAATCGCGATTAGAGCTATATTTAAGGAGATACATCGATTTAAAGGTTTGGGAAACCCACCGGCCGACAAATAATGATTTATGAAATATTTTGTACTGGGAAATTTGGATATGAAAATTTCGAGCATCTGGACACCCCCCAAATCGCGATTAGAGCTATATTTAAGGAGATACATCGATTTAAAGGTTTGGGAAACCCACCGGCCGACAAATAATGATTTATGAAATATTTTGTACTGGGAAATTTGGATATGAAAATTTCGAGCATCTGGACACCCCCCAAATTGCGATTAGAGCCATATTTAAGGAGATACATCGATTTAAAGGTTTGGGAAACCCACCGGCCGACAAATAATGATTTATGAAATATTTTGTACTGGGAAATTTGGATATGAAAATTTCGAGCATCTGGACACCCCCCAAATCGCGATTAGAGCTATATTTAAGGAGATACATCGATTTAAAGGTTTGGGAAACCCACCGGCCGACAAATAATGATTTATGAAATATTTTGTACTGGGAAATTTGGATATGAAAATTTCGAGCATCTGGACACCCCCCAAATCGCGATTAGAGCTATATTTAAGGAGATACATCGATTTAAAGGTTTGGGAAACCCACCGGCCGACAAATAATGATTTATGAAATATTTAGTACTGGGAAATTTGGATATGAAAATTTCGAGCATCTGGACACCCCCCAAATCGCGATTAGAGCTATATTTAAGGAGATACATCGATTTAAAGGTTTGGGAAACCCACCGGCCGACAAATAATGATTTATGAAATATTTTGTACTGGGAAATTTGGATATGAAAATTTCGAGCATCTGGACACCCCCCAAATCGCGATTAGAGCTATATTTAAGGAGATACATCGATTTAAAGGTTTGGGAAACCCACCGGCCGACAAATAATGATTTATGAAATATTTTGTACTGGGAAATTTGGATATGAAAATTTCGAGCATCTGGACACCCCCCAAATCGCGATTAGAGCTATATTTAAGGAGATACATCGATTTAAAGGTTTGGGAAACCCACCGGCCGACAAATAATGATTTATGAAATATTTTGTACTGGGAAATTTGGATATGAAAATTTCGAGCATCTGGACACCCCCCAAATCGCGATTAGAGCTATATTTAAGGAGATAAATCGATTTAAAGGTTTGGGAAACCCACCGGCCGACAAATAATGATTTATGAAATATTTTGTACTGGGAAATTTGGATATGAAAATTTCGAGCATCTGGACACCCCCCAAATCGCGATTAGAGCTATATTTAAGGAGATAAATCGATTTAAAGGTTTGGGAAACCCACCGGCCGACAAATAATGATTTATGAAATATTTTGTACTGGGAAATTTGGATATGAAAATTTCGAGCATCTGGACACCCCCCAAATCGCGATTAGAGCTATATTTAAGGAGATAAATCGATTTAATGGTTTGATAAATAATGATAATGATTTATGAAATATTTTGTACTGGGAAATTTGGATATGAAAATTTCGAGCATCTGGACACCCCCCAAATCGCGATTAGAGCTATATTTAAGGAGATACATCGATAGATTGAATTTTTCAAAATTTTCCAGATCTCTGAAAGTCTATGCATCACATATTCTATAATATTGCTAATCTGGGTGATTTATACTATAAATTAAATAAGCATAATTATTTTCAAAAATGTTCTGGTAAATGCAAGCTTTTGCTCCAAATATGCTGAAAACTTTACAGAATAATCACAAATATTTTTGCATCAAATCATGAAAAATGAGATTCAATTTGATTTGTAAATATTTAATCTAAAATTGCAATGCTGGTTGATTGCTAAATTGAATTAAATGACTCTAAATATGAGAAATGAGGTTCAATTTGACTAAAAAAAAAAATGATAATTGGGCTTAGACACTAGTTTTTCAATGAACCAACAACAATGGCGTACACGTGACTTCAGACTTTAAATAATGGGCTATGTCATATCTTCAAGGAAAATATGGGTATACAAATTTTGAACACCTTAACACCCCTCACATCTCAATTGGAGGCGTATTCCCGGAGTGGAATGGGTTTAATGATTTAGAAAATCAAGCACCTTTTAAATCGGCATGTTGACCTTATTTAACCCTCCAGCGCCCATTTTCACCTAGAGATGACACCTGCTTTGTTTGGCTGCTGAAACCCAAATCTTGTCCGATTTTGATGAAACTGGTTGCAATTACCTTTTTTAATTTTCTTGTTATGGACTGGATTAGACTACCTTTAGTGACCATCTTTTGAGTGCCAAGCAGAAAAAGGCAAATGTATCTATGAATTTTGTTGGTACAAAGGTTGTGTTCCATTTGGCGAAGGTGTTTGTCAAAATTGCTTCATTGTATAACAGAATTAAGTTTGGAAAAATGGTTGATTGTAAAATTTTCCATCTGTCAAATTTAAGTTAAAATTCATCAAATGGAACACAGCCTAGCAACCTCTCAAAGGCATGAATAAAAATGGGTTAAGTTTACCGGTTCTCGCATGGGCACTGGAGGGTTAAGGAGGTTGTATGCAAATTAATGTTTCATTCCTGCACCTAGCTCCTACCTTGAGAATGAAAGCATCACTATTTGCTCAAGACTGCTCTTATAAATAAAAACTCACCGATCCTCAAAATCACACCCATGTAGAAGTTTGTAGGTTCACTTTTGACGCCCCGGCGGTTGTTATGCTTGTGGTGGTTAATGATAGTTTGTGTAGGTACCTACCCAAACTGTTGCTGATAATGGTATTGCGGCAGCTGCTCTCACCATTGGCAAACCCAAAACAGGGACCGCCATGCTGGGTCCGTACCTCTCTGCTGCGGAAGGAACCACATGAGAGAGGGCGAGAAAGAGAAAGCACACTTCCCCCAACCAACAGGGAGGGAAGCGGCGCACCCCGGCAGGGAATTTATGCAAATTTCAGAATTCAAATGAGCATAACAATTTAAAGTATATTAAATATATTGGAGTCACGGGAGGTCTACCCCACAAATGTTCCTCGAAAAAGAAAAAAAAAAGTAGCATGCAGATGATGGGTATGCAAGGGGAAAAGAGATACGCCGAAGCGGAAAATATGATAATTTTTCGTTGATAGCAAACTTGGTCTGTGTGTGGCGATGGTTCGCCGCATTTGGGTCTGATTTTTGGTAACTGCTGTAACTGATGTTGTTGTGGTTTGTTTGCGTTTGGGAGTGTACATGGGAAAAATGGTGCTGGCTGGCTTTGGGTTTTACTTTGGGAGTCCAATGAGCTGGAAGAAGGGGAGTCACTTCTTCTCTCTCTCCTGATTATGGGATGGCTTATTTGCTCTTATCCCATGTAATCTAGGAGGTGATTGTGTGCTCTCATCTGTGGATGGAAGTTTTTGACGCAAAACAAGTGGAGATACGAAAAGGGAATCAACCTGCCGGGGGAAGGTGGGATGAATTCAAATCAAAAGGTGCACTCCATTATTGGAATTCATCCATCGGATGGTGATTGACTTTTCCAGGTGAAGGGACAGGCTCCGACACTCACCGACGACCTGCAGGTAGCCCTTCCGGGACCGCATCGGGTCTGTGTTGACCTGGCACATGTACCAGCCCCGGTCGCTTTCCTCCACCTCCCGGATGTGCAGGTACCAGGACCGGTGATCGTTGTGCGTCAGGCTTATCCGGGGATTCTGTGTTATCACGTTGTGATGGATAGATAATATCGTCTGCGTGTCGACCCGGACCCAAGCGACCTGCAAGAAGGAAAAAAAAAAAGAAGGATGGTTTGAAGATTGAACGGCATTGTATCAAATGGAACGGGTGTGTTATGGCGGGGAAAAATGAATTCCATGAATATCAAGCAAAGAAATGCGGGGTTGTTTTTGTTTTGCTCACAGCAGTAGAATGACGCAGATGGAAATTTATCTCGTTAGGAAATGCAACGGGTCGGTGAAAAGGCTTGTTTCAGCACGAACTGCAGTTGGTCGGGTACGATGACGTCGGGTTTCTTGATTGAACTAAGGAATGTTTTCGCTTAACCAGTTTTCGAATCACAAAAATATGAAGAGGATTATTTTAAATAATATTGTTGAAATTTCAATGTTTTTGAAGTATGATCCCATCATTTATTTAAATTACTGTTTATTTAAAAAAAAAAATTAATTTCACCTTTATGAATCATTTAGTCTGAAATAATACTAGAAACGCAGATGAAATAACAACACCACCAAAATCCACCATTGACCCTTACTAAGTGTTCCACCAGAGATTCCTATGATCGTATCGCTGTTTCCGGTAGGTTGAGAATTTCCAGTAGTCTGCAGGCTCACCGGTAAGTGTATACGTGTTCCAGAATTTAAATGCCTATTTTCCAGGCACTCCAGATACTTGTTCGCTCCCCTAACTGGTCCAAAAAATTTTGTGTTGCTCTCGAAGCAATCGATGACGTCATGAATACCTGTAGATGACTTCTTACGAATTTTCGGAAACTCGAACATCGCGTTCAAATGACGTTTCTTCAGCAAGTAACCGTTGGAGAATCGTGCTACCAAGCGTAATTAGCCTCGCTCATGGTATAAGCATCAACCAATTTCAACGCATCACCCCTCAAAGATGCCCGTAAGTAGTGGAATTTTTGAATGCCACTCAATGCCGGAGAAAAATCAATTGAGCGTGTTGTGAAAAGGCAGCCATTTTTCAAAATTTCCGTCGAACTTGGGAAGGTTGATTTGAGGAAGCCGCACATAAGTAAGAACATTACCCGACTCCGAAGAGGGAACAGGTGAAGAATGCAATCGTGTCGATTGAGTTTGGGTAGGTTGTTGTAGCTTACTAACTAGCCCTCGAAATTGTTTTCCTCGAAATTTTCCCTGACCTGACGATGCACTTCGATATTTTCCTCGTGGTCATCTATTTCTCCGATGTCCGCTTGAATCTCCTCAAATTCTTCCCATTTGGTCTCCAATTTATCCAAACGAAACCGTATTTGGTGCTTATCCGCTGCTTGGCTGCTGTTCAAGAACTTTGCCGTACGTGACAGGAAGTCTACAATACTGTCCCTCACGTGGATTTTGGGCTTCAGTTTCTTCCCCATAATGAGTACCATAGAAGATGATGGCAGAGCATCGAAGAACCAGCAAATGTCCTGTGAATATACGGGACAAAGCGAAGAGTCTTTCCAAGAGATATTTACGGATTTGGATACACATGGTGATGTGGTGGATGCGCAAACCAATTGAAAAACAGTTTGATTAAGACGCAATCTTTTCCGTTAAAAGTGTCGATGCGCAACATAAACGAAAAACAAACTTGTAAATCAAAATGACATTAATGTATACCAAGCATTTCCACTGGGTCTCAAATAAACATTCCTAAGAAATCCCAAATGCAATAAACATGTTTACTAGTTCAAGCGCAAGACGATCAACAACGCACGCAGACGGCGCAATGAATGAAATGATTGTTTGCATAGCTTAGCATACTTGCAATAAGCATAATCGATTGCGTGTGACTTTTGCCACATGGTATCGGGTCAATTCGTAAACAACAGGAAGCAACATATCACCATAGGACTTGGGAAAGATTCAGCATCAACAATATTGAATTCTATCTGCGCAATTGGTTAATTAATAAAACTAACTGAAACTGAAATATACATTATTCTACAATCGCAAGTCAGAGTGTTATTACCTTCGAATGCCAGCTCAGTGAGCCTGTCAAATAGGCCTTGTACAAATTGTCTCTCTGGAAACTGCTAACAATTCTCCGACCAAAATTCCGATCACCAGTATGAGCCAAGGTTTAAGTCGTCGGAGTACCAGCAATTTGTGAGCCTGTCTCTAGGCCTTGAATTAGGTATAGGTCGTAGCAGCTTCAATTGATCCAAATGCACCGGTGAAGTCAAAGTCTTACTTACCTTACCAATCAAGCTAAGGCCTTGTTGTCCTCTGCTGTCCGAAGAAGTCGTCTCCATTCTACTCGATCCATGGCCACAGTTCACCAGCCTCGTAGTCTGCAAAGGGTCCGCAGGTCACCTTCTACTTGGTCGATCCACCTTGCCTGCTGCGCGCCTCTTCTTCTTGTTCCTGTTGGGTCGCTTTCTAGAACCATTTTCACTGGGTCGTCGTGCGGCATTCTTACGACGTACCCAGCCCACCGTATTCGCCCAATTTTTGCAATGTGAACGACGGATGATTCACCCAGCAACTGGTGCAATTTGTGGTTCATTCGTCTCCTCCACGTTCCGTCATCCATCTGCACTCCGCCTAGATGGTACGCAACACCTTCCGTTCGAAAACACCACGTGGTCCTCAACGAGCATAGTCCAGGTCTTGTGGTCGTAGAGGACCACTAGTTAAATCAGGGTCTTGTAGATAGTCAACTTCGTGCGGCGGCGAATTTTATTCGACTGGAGCGTCCTCCTGAGTCCAAAGTAGGCACGATTCCCTGCCATAATGCGTCTTTGAATTTCTCTGCTGGTGGCATTTTTGGCGGTCACCAGTGAGCTCAAATACACGAACTCATCGACCATCTCGATTTCGTCACCGTCCATCTGAACTCGGGGTTGGAGGCTAACATTGTCTTTCCTAGAACCTCTTCCTTCCATGTATTTTGTCTTTGATGCGTTGATGGCACATCCGATTCGCCTAGCTTCAGCCTTCAGTCTGATGTACGTTTCTGTCATCGTCTCAAAGTTCCGTGCCATAATGTCAATGTCATCGGCGACGCCAAGAAGCTGGATGGACTTCCTGAAGATCGTGCCACTCGTGTTTATCCCAGCACTTCTGATCACACCGAGGGGGGCGACACATCTAAATCTAAATTCCAGATGCTCAAAAAATCTCACACTTGCGAATCAATCTTCGAAAAATCATCTTTCATTTCTCGCATCTACTCTACGCGCTTCATCTTTTTGCAGGAAATCTTCAAAATCGACATAAATCTTCCTCCTATCTACTCAGCGTGCGTGCAGCTAGCCACAGCAAACACAATCTTTTCTGCATCGTAGATAGAGTCGTCCCCCTCGGATCACACCTTCTAACGCGATGGTGAATAGCAGACACGAAAGTCCATCACCTTGCCGTAGCCCCCTTCGAGATTCAAAGGGACTCGAGAGTGTCCCCGATACTCGAACAACTCACATCACTCGATCCATCGTCGCCTTGACCAATCGCGTCAGTTTATCTGGAAATCTGCCATAGCTGATCTCGATCGATTGTGTCGTATGCGGATTTGAAATCGATGAACAAATGATGTGTGGGCACGTTGTATTCGCGGCATTCCTGCAGAACCTGCCAAATCACGAAAATTTGGTCCGTGGTAGCGCGGGCACCCATGAATCCCGCCTGGTATTGCCCCACGAACTCTCTTGTAAATGGTGATAGGCGGGGGCATAGAATTTGGGAGAGTACCTTGTAGGCGGCGCTCAGCAGTATGATCGCACGGCAGTTGCTGCAATCCAACTTGTCTCCCTTTTTGTAGATTGGGCATACGACACCTTTCACCCACTCCTCCGGTGAAGTCCAAGTCGCACCATCCAAATAGCCGAAAAGCCCCCGAATACCGTCGAGTCGTAAACGGTTAGATTCTGACCTAATGGACTTGTTATACAATCCAATGTCGATCCAGGTCGAATTAAGTTCCGTCCAGCAAAGGAGCAAAAAGTTGGAGGGTGGTGTACAAGACATGACCGCATTGTTGACGTAGGACTGCGAAATTTCTGTTCGATTTTCTAGTTTGTTGTTTCGGATATTAATTTGTAATTAAGTGCCCGCTGCGCGCCTCTTCTTCTTGTTCCTGTTGGGTCGCTTTCTAGAACCATTTTCACTGGGTCGTCGTGCGGCATAGTCCAGGTCTCGTGGCCGTAAAGGACCACCGGTCTAATCAGCGTCTTGTAGACAGTCAACATCGTGCGACGGCGAATTTTATTCGACCGGAGCGTCCTCCGGAGTCCAAAGTAGGCACGATTCCCTGCCATAATGCGTCTTTGAATTTCTCTGCTGGTATCATTTTCGGTGGTCACCAGTGAGCCCAAATGCACGAACTCATCGACCACCTCGATTTCGTCACCGTCAATCTGAACTCGGGGTGGGAGGCTAACATTGTCTTCCCTAGAACCTCTTGCTTTCATGTATTTTGCCTTTGATGCGTTGATGGCAAGTCCAATCCGTCTAGCTTCAGCCTTCAGTCTGATGTACGTTTCCGCCATCGGCTCAAAGTTCCGTGCCATAATGTCAATGTCATCGGCGAAGCCAAGAAGCTGGATGGACTTCCTGAAGATCGTGCCACTCGTGTCTATCCCAGCTCTTCTGATCACACCTTCTAACGCGATGTTGAACAGCAGACACGAAAGTCCATCACCTTGCCGTAACCCTCTTCGAGATTCAAAGGGACTCGAGAGTGTCCCCGATACTCGAACAACGCACATCACTCGATCCATCGTTGCCTTGACCAATCGCGTCAGTTTATCTGGAAATCCGTCGCATAATCTGCCATAGCTGATCTCGATCGATTGTGTCGTCTGCGGATTTGAAATCGATGAACAAATGATGTGTGCACACGTTGTATTCACGGAGAACCTGCCGAATCACGAAAATTTGGTCCGTAGTAGCGCGGTCACCCATGAATCCCGCCTGGTATTGCCCCACGAACTCTCTTGCAAATGGTGACAGACGGCGGCATAGAATTTGGGAGAGTACCTTGTAGGCGGCGCTCAGCAGTGTGATCGCGCGGTAGTTGCAGCAATCCAATTTGT